AGGGACAAGGAGAATAACTTCCTGCCAGTAAAAGGGGTTGGGAAGAGAACCCTGGTCTGTGATAAAGGGGAGAAGCTTAGACACCTCAGGAGTTAGTGAAAAGCAGTAATACCTACAGAAAACCTAGAACTCTGAAGGAAGAAATCTAGAAACTTTAAGCAAACGCTGTCCTCCAAAAGAAATATTAATAAGAACTGTGTTAGTGCTAAAATATACTAAACAAAGTACCTCTCAAAGAAAGAACTAGAAAACCCTGAAACAAAACTACAAATACACTCTCTTGAATGTTCTAAGAATTCAACTCTGTATATATTTGAAAGGTTTTAGCTCAGCAGTCTCAAAACCTTGACTATTCCTGTTATATTTCCTGACTGTTTAATAAAATCTTTATTCTGTTTTTGAAAGTTATTTTGTTTCAAGTGGAACAGCAGTCACTGTGTGTGTGGAGGGCATGGAACAGTGGTCACTGCGGGTGTGGAGGGGGAGGTATTTGTGAATTTCATGCATTGTACAGGGGGTTGGACTAGATGACCCTGGAGATCCCTTCCAACTCTATGATTCTAAGTGCCATTTCACAAGGGTTTATAAAACAGGACAGCTCCTGTCTTTCCCTCCAGTTCCTGTACTGGATCTAATGCCTAAACCAATATCTAAACAAAGGGTGGGACAGTTTCAAGTTTATATCAATAGAGAAGATATACATGTTACTGTAGGGCAACTCAGTCACTTAGGGGAATTGAAGATTCCGTGGGAAAAATCTGCCAGACAATTGGGGAGATAAGGGGTCCGTCATACCGTGATAACAAGAAAATACCACAAAAGCACAATGCTTGCTCCCCTACCAATGAAGGTCCAGTGGAGAGGCAAGATGATACAGCAGATCAAGCCTATGAACTGGTAGTTTAGATCCCATAATTTGATAGGAAACTATGAAAAACATTGGCTGAGGACAGTTTCTTGCCAGATATTTTATACATACACTAATATTTCTAATATTTCTCCCCTTAAAATACACAAAAGAGCTATGCATTAAAGGATTAGATCCCATACTTTCTTGCACTTGAGATAGAATCTGTACTTGAAGGACATCAGATTTGAACATAATTGACTGTCTCGTCAGCAGCAGACACAAATCTTGAAAAATAAAAGTCTATCCACCACTGAGCCATTTTTCTGCTCAGTGCTTTCTAATTCAAAGCCAATAGTCAGATATGAGGAAAGACTGTAATGTGTCAGCACTTTATCAAATGTTGGTGACTGCCATATACACAAATACGTGTCATTGTCTCAGTAATACATAAGAATATGACATTCTAGCAGAAAGTTAAGAGATGTGAGCCTTTTATTAGTGGATTTTATTTTTTCAGCACATATACACAGCCTTAAAGCTACTGCCCTTTTAAATGAAAACTATTTGGCAAACTATTCAGAGCAAGCAAACAAGTGAAAAACACTGGCCTGCACCTGCACAATTAAGCTGATCAGGAATTACTTCCTGGAATTAAACACCAAACTTGCTAATCAGCTCAACTGTCCCATGCTGAAGGGAGCCAATTAAAAAACAAAAAACAGAGGGTGGTGAGAATCTCTTCATAACACACAGGCAATCCCAACCAAGTTATATATGTAAATATATATTATGGACAAAATATCTTGAGACGGAGAGCCTAATTTCCTGAATTTTAACACATGTTCATCATGGCTTGGCTGCAAAAAAGATATATGGGAATTTGTCATCAATCGGATTCACAAAGTTTCTCTTCTGAAGAGGTTTCTGTATGGCATACTGTATCCTGTGCAAATCACCTTTGAAGTAGGTTTGTAAGACGGACATGGAATACACTGAACAGTATTCTTAAAACAGTATTTCCATTTTAGAAATGGCTCCCCACCCCTTATATCCAATATCTAGTGGGATGTTCTCTTGCGCGGCAGTTTCCTCTCTGAGCCAAGTTGGGACCTATCATACATGTCCGAACCAAACCCCTCTTGATTGCTGGGCATCTGTTTTTAAAACCCAGATAAATATTTGGGATAGGAGTTGCTGTGCTTCTTTGTTTGTGCTTGACATATTACATGGCAGCCAGCCATACAAATCTGAAGGCCCACCTAACGGATCAGCAAATAGAAGGATTGTACCTGAAGCCCCAGGCTGAAAACTGAACAGTATCTATCCTCGGCTTCATATCCATAGGGCAGGACTCATAATTCCCAGGGTATCTGTCCTAGCTGGATGCAAGATAACAGAATGGACAGCCGCCACTACAGATACTGGATGAAAAGCAGGACCCTGGAACTTACCTAAGGAGGAGAGCAGAACGGAAGTTGAAAACTCACCACAGTTAATTATAGCCTAAAGGAGAGTCAGGCACTTTGTGATGACAGACATTAATTTACCCATCCCTTTCCAAAACTCGTTTATAAAGAGTCCTTGTGGCTACACATCGCATTGACCCAGATTGCTTCTACACAGAGGTTTTGCTCCACATGCCTCAAATGGCAGCACTGGGGGGGGGGGCTTCCACACAACAACATCATGCAGTTGTCAACCTTCCCTGGCTTTGCTGTGTTTCCCCCCTAACTTGATTTGGTACAATCCTTCCTGAAAGATCATACTCAAAGTGGGTTTAGGGACAGTTTGGATGGAAGGTATGGATTTCTGCAGCTCCCTGCCCCTATCCCGTACCATCCCCCACCATCTCTCTCTGGCCATTTTCTAACACTAAAGTAAAAACCCACAAGTGGTGGGCGGGGCGGAAGATAGGCATGAAGGGAAAGCATGGCTCCATTGCTCCTACAACTACCTCCACATTCACAGCAACAACGAGAGCAGAATAGGGAATTGTCCCTGTGTGGCAGCTACCCTAAAAGATGAAGAAATTCAGAAGGAATGTCTGCTTAAAGGAAAAAACCCTCTAAGCTCTACATAAGCTTTGTTATGTATGACCCTGAACTCAGAGATGCTCATGTAAATCCAAGTGAGGGAAAGTTATTCTGCTTCTCTTCTACAAACTTGGAAGTGTTCTAGAGAACAAGTTAAGGAAAAAAGAATGTAATACTTGTCAACAGTACTAAAAATAGGTTTCCAGTACTGCAAAACTATTTGTTTCAATGGCTTCCCTTCCAAGGAGTTCTGGGATGAGATGGGGGAAACAGAAACTGTTTGTAGAAGCCCTCAACTAAAAATCCACAAGTTTCCATATGGGAAACCAAGTTAAATCGGTTTAACACTAGTACTTGAACACACTGAGGCAGCCAAATCTAAATGTGATAGTGGACCCATGGTCGCTACACAAGTACGCCAATCCTCATTTACTCTTTTTCTGAAGCAGCATGTACATAAATAGGATAGATTCCAAGTCTTGACATGGCCACAAAGCATACATTCAGAAGTAAGTGATCTCTTCATCTAAACCATTACATAAGAGCTGGCTAGCAACAAAAGCCCATTATCAGATGTCATCTCAGTTCATTAAGAGTTAATCCTGCACATGAAATCTTTAAGCTGTCAGCTTTATGGAAGTGAGGGTGCTCATATACTGAAGAATGGTACCACTGCTTTTAAGTCACATCACTAGACAAGCGACTACTGTTCTTGATTAAAAATCTGCATTCTGGAAACACCTGTCAGATTAGATATTCTAAGAAGGGGGACCTAACAGCCAAGATCCCCATTAACGTGGGAGTTAAGCAGGGCTGCATTCTTGCGCCAACCCTGTTTAACCTCTTCTTAAATGATTTAGACCCCTTTATGAGGAGTATTGATGGCCATTGCCCTAAACTGGGTGAGAGGCATGTATGCGGATGATGCTGTCCTGCTTTCTCTCTCAGAAATGGGGATGAAAAGGATGCTTGCACAAGCTCTTGCTTATTGCAATAAGAACAAGTTGTCCCTGAACTTCGATAAATCCAAAATCATTGTGTTCGAGAAAAGTTGGAAGCCCATTAAGTGGGTTATACAGGGGGAAAAAATTGAACAAGTCAAAAGCCATAGATACCTGGGCATCTATTTCAATTATACTAACAGCTGGGCTACACATATTAAAGAAGCAGTTAAGTCATCAACTAACAACGCCCTTGCTATTGCCCGTTTCTTTTACACCAAAGGACATCAATATATTCCCACTGCTCTTAAAGTATTTAACCATAAAATACCCGCCAAACTGCTTTATGGTATCCCAATTTGGGTCTCAGCTTGTAATGAAGCTGTAGAACGTGTTCAATCTAAGTTCCTGAAGAAAATCTTGGGGCTACCAGCTTGCGTACCATATGCAGCTATGTGCCTGGAGACAACCCAAAGACGGTTAATTACGATGGCATGGACCATAACCTTCAAATTTTGGCTGCGCCTTCATTTTAGATCTGGCCCAAACAGTCTTGTGGTGCACATGTTAACTGAATCCCATCTATCGACTTGGTTGATTAATATAGAGGAAAAAATTTCTATAATCGGCTTTAGTTTTGATGACTTGGTACTTTTGTCTGAGCAGAAGGCTTTCGCCTTACTCAAACAAAGACTCCTCGATATAAAGGTGCAAGATCTGAGAAGACTTGCGCACAGACATTGCTCTCCCGTGAGTATGGGACTTTCTTTTAGCCATATTTCCTCAGGATACCTGGCAAGACTGATTCAGCCCCATCTTCGTAGGGCTTTCATGCTAGCACGGTTCGACATCCTTCCCTCAGCTGTTCTATCGGGAAGGTTCAACAAAATTGCCTAAAAAGATAGATTGTGCTCCTGTGGGATGGGGGAAATCGAATCCATTGGACATGTGCTATTGTACTGTAAATTCCACTGTGACATCCGTGTTGTTTATATTGAACCTGTGTTGGACCCCCTTTTGGGCCAATCTGATGAGCATAAAATTAGTTCTGTATTGTCTTCGCATAATATAGAAATTCTGGAATCTATAGCAAATTTCTTTTATGAGGTATCTAGGAGGAGAGGCTCATATTAAGGCAATTCGGAATGTGATACCCCTCCAGCCTATCTTGAGGCTCTATGCTGCATGTGTATTTGATATTTTATGCCAATAAAGGTATTGTATTTGTTTGTAAGTCACATCACTCACGAGACAATCCTTGTTTCTGCCAAACTTTTTAAAAGACACCCCCACCCCGCTGCAGCGGCAACTTCCTTGTGCTGGCTTAAAGCTTGGCTTACAAAGTTAAGAAAATTGCAACACTGGGCTGCTTTCACAATTAGTGCATTAACATTCCTGGCAGAGTTGATTGTTCTTAATGACTTTATTCACTACCTATAATCAAGAGGTACAGTGGCCCACATTATGAAAACCAAAGAGTATTTTAGCACAATACTACTGAAAGAAGACACTGGACCAGCTCCCTCTTTACACCATTGCTACCCCTTCATTGACACACAGCTACATTCACTGCACAGTCATACTGTAGCCTAACAAAAGAATGACAACCAACAGAGGATGTGATAGAAAACCAAAAACACTGAGATTCAGTTCTGTGAACGTGATCCATGCACAGAACCAGGCTGCTACTTGTGGGTCGGCACCATTAAGTATATAAAAGCTTGCTGCAGCAGGACAGAACACATCGAGCATGGTAACCGACGGTGTGCACCACCCCATGGCAGCCTGCCCTGTTCATCATCTTATACTCTAGGCATTTTTTTTTAACCTCTGGATGCAGCAGGGTGTACAACATTTTCTGCTACTCCTGTGGTTCTCTGGATTGGTGCAAGAAGTGTTTAGGCATTTGTCAGTGCTCAGGTCTGAAGAAGGGTGCATGCACATGAAAGCGTATACCCAGAATTAAACTTTGTTGGTCTTAAAGGTGCCACTGGACTCAGACTTAGGTATACAGCAGATAGCAAGACCATGGTACCTCTCACTGTACAACATGAACAACCATGAGCAAATGTTAAATTTCAGGAAATATAGATGACATTAACTTGATCCAGCATAAAGATAATCAGATAAATAATAAAAAGTCTATAGTACACTGAAATCATACTGCATTTCAGAAAACTACCCCACATATTCACAGCTTGAGACATCCTTGCTGGGTTAAAACACATTAAAATGAAGTATTTCCCATTAAAGATGCCAAGAAACGGGATTTAGTTTTATTGCATGACGTTGCATAAGAAAGTATATTATTTAAAACCGTAAGGCATCATGCAATTATCCAGAAGCTGATTCATTACTATTCTTTGAGAGGCGGTTATACACTCTACATTTATAAAACCAGTTTTGAAAAAAGTACATAAAAATTTAACATGATGAGCATTAAATAGGACCAACAAGTCTGCAGGGTTGAGCTGTTAAAAAGTGCATCTGAAAACATACCGTGCTGGAAATTCACTCTGTCAAAAGAAAAAAGAAAAAGAGGGACTGAAGACAACAGACAAGCTATAAAACCCCAAAGAAAGTTGTTTGATGGAGCTAGAGTCTAATGTTACAAAATCCAAATTGACAAACTTGCTTAAAATCTGTTTTCAGTCCTTACACTTTAATTTTAACACAATTGATACAATAATAAAAAAAATATGCTTTTGTAACCAAAGTCTATTGAGTTCAAGTTATGTACACCAAGCAATCAAATAATGAACAGGTTGGAGATACTATGCACTAGTATGATTTTGGCATTAATCAATGTATTGGGCCATCCAACGAAATCCTTCGCCATAGCCTTGTCTCTTTAGCACGCTGCACATGAAGACTTCTAAGGGTCGGGTGTTCAATTCCTTCAGAGGGATACTGCCCTGAAAATTAGATAAGAACATTTCTGATCATAATACCGTTGCTTAAAATAGAGATTCTTTATAATAGAACTATCGATTCCATATAATCTTTACATAATTAACATTTTTAGTAATTTAATAATTTAAAAACTGTGGAGAGTCAGATTGACTTTTGACAAGTACCACTTAATGGCTTGGGCATGATCTATTGTACATGTCACATTTGCTAAAATGAATGCCCAAATGTTTACAGTTTCAGGCATGCTGCTCAGGAGGCATAAATCTGCAAGGAGGCTCCCGGGTTTTAATTATATTTGATGGGGCTTGGTTAGGCTTCAGCACCAATACAAGGAGACCTGCTGTGCCCATATGCTGGTGCTAGGAGAGGAGCAGCTGCACGGACAAAGTGGTTTATAGGCAGGGGTCATTGAGCTGTATTCCATTTCATTCCGTCTCAGCTTCATTCTAGCCACTTTTATTCTTGCCAAGTAGACATGAACTTTCTTAGGAGGAAGGCTGTAACTGGTGTCATCTCAGGCTGACATTATTTGGAGAGGGCTACAAAGTGGGAGTGGGGTTGCCTACACAAACACGGTCCTTAGCTTTTCACAGGGTGATTATATGGCCACATTGCATAGCCACCAAGAAAACATATATAAAATAAAATAGCAAAGGCGCCCCCTGTGTGTGGATATCTAAATCTGCACATCGGGGACACCTGGGGGGCAGGGAGATTTTCCTGCACACTTGGGGCAGTCCCCAAGTGTGCACAAAAATCTAAAAAGTAGAAAAAATATAGGGGGGGGATATTTAAATCCCCCCAAAAGTAAAAGAGTGCTCCCTGCACATGCGCAGGGAATGCTTTGCGAACTGCCTCGCCTCCGCCGCTTGCAGGGGGAAGTCGAAGGCTTGGCAGGCTGGCAGCTGTGAGCCACTCAGCCGCCGCCCCCACGGGGGTA